ACTGTACAGAGTTATTAGTTGATTATACACTTTATCCTTGCATATGTATTTCTTAGATTTTTTTCCGCCCCTTCAGAAATGTTCACCGATACAGTTGCAGTGAATTCCAGAGGGATGGCAGGGACCGGGGTGGGTGGTAACGGGTCAGGTCAGGGAGCCCAGACGGGCCAAAACAGCCCATTAAACACTCTCGCTCCGTAGACATGAGTGTGAGGACAGAAAAAGAGGAACATAAAAGAATGCAAACAGGACAAATGTGGAGAGAGGGAGAGAGAGAGAGACAGAGAGAGAGAGAGGTGCTTCTTGTGGCGATTGACCTAACATTGCAGCTTCCTGTGGGCCGGAGTTTAACAGCTCACAACAACATAACAGCTTCAAATTATACAGTGTTGATAAGCGTACAGGATTGATATAACGTCATGCGCTCATTTGCTCCGCTCTGCTATCTGGCACTAAATGAACCGGGTCCGATTGTGGATCATCTGGAGTCACGGACATCTGAGTTGGAGAAACAGCATCTCTTACAGGATGGAGAGTGAAACTGCAGTCTTCTGTTCTAGTACACTACTGTTCAAAAGTTTAAACATTTATACTTGTATTCAGCAGGAATGCATTCAATTGATCAAAAGTGGCAGAAAAGGCATTTATAATGTTGCAAAAAAGCTTATTTCAAATTAATGCTGTTAATTTGAATTTTGTTATTCATCAAAGAATACTGATTTTTTTATCATGGTTTGCAGAAAAATATGAAGCAGGATGACTGTTTTCAGCATTGATAATAATCAGAAATGTTTCTTGAGCACAAAATCAGCATATTAGAATGATTTCTGCAGGATCATGTGACACTGAACACTGGAGTAATGATGCTGAAAATTCAGCTTTGATCACAGAAATAAATTATGTTTTAAATTATATTCAAGTGGAAAATAGACATTTTAAATTGTAATAATATTTCACAATATTTCAGTTTTTTTCTGTATTTCTGTGAAATTTAGCGATTTTTTTGTGAAATAAAATGTGAAATTTACAATTTTGTTACAATTTTTTTAATCAAACACGTATCACTTCCATCAGTATTAATCAAAACATCCTAGTAGCTCCATAGCAACGTGTTAAAGTCACTCACAATACCTTAGCAACCATTCAAAACATGACGGCGAATTTCAGAAAAATTGCACAATGAGCAGCGTTGTTATTGTTAAAAATTCCATTTCGGTAATTGAAATGAAGCTGAAATAAAATTTTAGATGAAGGTAAACTTAAACTTACATGAAAATCAGAAGTGAATAAATGTGTTCAAGAGCTTAAAATTACTCAAATAAATAAATAAATATAAAATAAAAACCTAAATAGAAATATTAAAAAACTAATAAAAATGACAAATACACACAAAAATTACTATAACAAATTAAAATCAAAATATAAAAATAAAAGCTAATTTAAAATATTATTCAAAAATTATAATAGTATATAATTCTAAAATAACACTTTGTAAATCTACCTCGATGTAGTTGAAAGCATCATCAAACTAACTGAAATATTTCATAAACAAGCACACATATGTGACCCTGGAGCACAAAAGCAGTCATAAGTAGCACAGGTATATTTGTAGCATTAGCCAAAAGTATGTTGTATGGGTCAAAATTATCTATTTTTCTTTCATGCCAAAAATCTTTAGTATATTAAGTAACAATCATGTTCCATGAAGATATTTTGTACATTTCCTACTGTAAATATATCAAAACATAATTTTTTGATTAGTAATATGTATTGCTAAGGACTTCATTTGGACAACTTTAAAGGCGATTTTCTCAATATTTTGATTTTTTTTGCACCCTCAGATTCCAGATTTTCAAATAGTTGTATCTCGGGCCAAATATTGTCCTATCCTAACAAACTATACATCAACGGAAAGCTTATTTATTCAGCTTTCAGATTTATTTTGAAACATTTCTTTTAAAAATTGACACTTAAGGGGCCGTTCACATGTTGCGCCTAAAACGCGTGGAAAACGCTAGGCGCGCCGCTTTCTGCTTTTTTCCAAAGCGTTCGGGCGCTTGCGCTCCGGAGGCGTCTGCCGTTGCTAAGCAACCATGACCTGCACACTTCATGAAGACGCGGAAGTTTCAACAAAGGATAAATGGATTTGCACCACTAAAAATCGCTTGCAGTAGCTCTGCTACTAAATTTATTTTAAAAATGTCTATCCTGTACAGCTATGATCAGCTGTTCCTTCATCTTGGCTGAGCCTTCAATGTTGTTACGGGAAAGGATGAAGCTGATTGGTTGGTTCTTGTCACATGACCCGCGGTGCGCTTGCGGCATTCTGAAAAGTTGAAATGTTTAGCGCGCCAGCCGCGCGTCTACATTTGAAATAACGAACTTGAGCGCGCAAAAGACGTGATATGTGAACGGCCCCTAAGACTGGTTTTGTGGTCCAGGGTCACAAATAAAAGGCTAAGTGCAAAAGTTTGTGAATTCATGTCATTTACAGAGTGTTCTGTATAATTCTTAGATGCCGTGTATAACTAAATCAACTGGGAAAGTGTAGTGCCATGTAAATGCTGTTGAATAATGAGCAAAATGGCCTACGATGAATGCCTAGACCACATATGTTCATAAAGAGCGGCTCTCGTTCTCTGTTTATCTCTGGCTCTTCTGAAGAGTGCATAATTTGAGCTCATATCTGAAGGAAACGGACAGCCACCTGGTGTGGGAGCATTTGAGCAGATTATGAGGCAGATCTAAGAGTCAAAGGTGTCCTCCATTAGCCTGAGCTGTGAAGCTGTGATTCGGGTTCATCCAATACAGCCGCAGCGTTACGTCACCCGCAAACTTCCTCTGCTCCCCATTTCCTTTGCCTAAAACAGACTGGGACAAAATAAACTGGCCTTACAAGACCTCTGCTGCGTGTGTGGCCTATCAGGTAGACTATGAGCTGTGCTATTTAAAAACACTCGAAACCAAAAGGTTGATGACTTCAGTTTTTACTTCAGTTTTATGTGCGGTTTTAACTAATAGGTAGTTAGAAACAGAAAAGATCGGATGTGATTCAGAAATGACTATTTAGCTTTACTGAGAAGTTCATTAATGATCTGATGCACTGTTGTTTCCAAAGATGTTCACTGTCCATCAGCACTGGGATATGAGAGCAAAGGCCAGAGGCTGCTGGGTCAAGGGTCAAGGGTCAAAGGCCAGAAGGGTCATTACTCGCTGCTTAATTGGTGGACTACCCCAGCTGCATGCTCTACTTTATGTGAACACAAGGACACACACACACACATTAAAAAAACTAGCACTGGATTAACTAAATCTGTCTGCAGAAGAAAAAATAAATAAATAAACATTTAACTGCTTCAGTAATAATATTAAACAAAAAATAAATAAAATATATCAATATAAGCAGCCTAGTTTGAACAGTGTACCTTTTAAAAATAATTTTACTCTCTCTTTACCAAATTTCTTCTTAAAAAAGTCTTACAAATAAATACAATAATGCATAAATAATGCAAACAAGTCATCGGACATCATTACTTGCGTGTAAAGAATCAAAATGCATGCGCCATGGATCAATAAAACGGAATAGCCTCTGCACGGACAATAATGAAATGATTTTAATTACTAAATCATATTGTTGATGAAAATAATAAGAGTAAAATAAAAGTGGTGGTGGTTATTATAAATAATGCATAAATGATTCTGAAAAAAGTAACAAATGAATACCACTGTTTTAAATAGCAGCATTGCTGTTCAAGCTGTGCGCTGTAGCTGAAGAGCTGAATGAACAGCGGTAAACCGAAGCGCTTGTTAAAGAGGGTTAATTATGCTATATGAGAATCAGATATTTAGAGAACATAAATATAATATTACAACTTATATATGCACAAAAAGACGGAAATGCACAAGTTATCTTGAACTAAGTTATGCGCAAGTTAGATCACTGCATCAAAAAAAAAAAGCCCATCAGTTACACATCTGTATTCCCGTAACAACGCGCTGAAACACGGCAAATAAACCCCAAAGAATTCACAACTTTTTATTACGGTAATTTTCTCTTTATAATGTTATGTATATGACAGTCCCAATCATGGTTATTAATGTTGTGCATTGCTGTTCAAGCTGCGCGCGCTGAAGCTGTAGAGCTGAATGAACACCGGTAAACTGCTTTGCTGGCAGCTTATTTAACTCAAGGAAATGCCTCATATGTGAGATTAATCCGATATTTATACTACATAAACATAATATTACAACTTATAGGCTATATGTACAAAATGGTGCTATAGTCAGAATGTACTGTTGTGGATGCGCTCTTCCCATTACAACTTGCCGCAACCCGGCAACGTTTTATTAGAATAATGTTCTCATTAGCATGTTATACACACGACATTCCCAATCGTAGTAAATAATGTTGTGCGCTGCTGTTTGAGCTGCATGCGCTGAGTTAAAGATAATCACCGGCAAACTGAAGCGCTCTATTAACGCACTATTAACTTAACCAGACGCATTATATATATATATATAAGAGATAAATCACATATACATCAAATAAACACAATATTACAACGTACAATTGCACAAAAGGCTGCAAATGCACAAGCAAACTTAACTGTCATGGAGGTGTAGCTCAACGCACGCACAAAACACGGACGCACAAAGATTCCACAACATTATTTACAGTAATGTACACATGATCATTTTATGTAGCCTTTATGACAGACTTGCCCTGCACATGTTGCACTTAAGTGTATTGTCCTTTTCAAAGTGATTCCAATCATATTTCAAGCATTTCAAAACCATCATGGCGAACAGCACGCATCTGAAGTGTCTCTAAAGGAAATAATGCATTATTTATGGGCTTTAAGATAGCGACCAAATTTTCTTATCGGGCCGATACCGATAACAGGAAAAATGAGCA